GTGTAGCTTAATAAATGTTGCATTTTTTTGTATTTGCTTACCAATTTTAACATTTTTTATTCGTTACATTTGGTCTTTAAGCCACGTTTTGAATATTTTTCTGCATCTCTTCGGCCAGACTATCACTAGCACTTCCACACTTTTTTATGAACGAACGATTCTGACGCTAAAGCATAGCATGGCATCTTTCTCTTATTTCATACCTTCACTTGGAAGTAAATTGAATTTATTTTTGCAAAATTGCGTTGCTGTTTCGGTAGCATGCTGTTGCTATGAAAATGGAAATTGCAGACAAAACATGTGTATCGTGTGCTGCAGTGTCACGAAGAGGAGCTTACCAATGTTGTGTCGGCGATGTCTGATGGCTGGAAATTCGTACAGGTATTATAGGTTGTATTAAGTAGAACTCACAAGGAACAGCCTTCACTGTATTTGTCGTCGAAGATCCCAAAAAAGTGTTCGACGGTTTTATAAAATTCGACGAGTCGAACCTGCGGAACATCCAAATTATCGCATTTTTTCCTTTTTTTTGTGCATTTTTTTGCATCTATGCAATACAAAAACGCATGTTTTCGAGGGGTTATCTGCATGTGCGTCTGTGCCGATTTTTCATCTCAAAACCTACAGTGGAAACTTTGGAAACTTAATCTACATGCACACACAGGCCCTCTTCCCCAAAATGGGCGCTCCTACCCACGTGGGTCCCAAGTACGGGCCCCTCAAAGTTTTCGGTGAATAACTTCTAGCTCGGGAACCAAAAAGCTAGAACACTGAAATTTTAAGGGCATGTTTCCTGACACTCCTGGTGGCCAGTCCCAATTCTTTTAGTTAGAAGCATCTGCCGGAAAAACCGATGCCATTAACGGCAAAAATTTGCGGGGAACTATGCAAAAAACGCATCTTCACACCGTCAGTCGGTGCGCTGACCAGTTGCGTGTTTTATTAGTAGCTAATAGAAGTTTTAACTCACTTTCGGCTTCCAGTGAGGTTTGTCTGGGAAGCATTGCCACCCCTTTGATAATTTTTTGATATCATTGAAGGTAACTGAAAGATAGTTGTAGTATATCGAGAGACTTTTTGCAGCTAATTCCAATTGGTCAGTTCCAATATCAAAGCGATATGCAAAGTGAATACCTCTGCGTTGTTTCCCGAGAATTTCCTGATAACGAAATCAAAAATGCCGAGCACACAGATCTTACTGATCGTGTTAAAGCTCTTCAGCAAAAAGCTCGTCGTAAGTTTGTTGTTTTTCTTCTACACATTTGAGCATAATTTATCTTTTTCTAGTGCAAGATACAGTCCTCTCCTGCGAATTGAGCAGATCCTGTTTCTTTTTCTGCCTGGATCTCCTCTAAGCGAAATGTCATTTAAGTGTTTTTTTAGTGAAAGTAAACATGCAGGTTAAAAGACTTAGCTAAGAGGTCCACTTTCGAATCTTTGTCCGGAGCTGACGTTCGCGCCAGCCACATCATTTCTAAGGCACCAGATGTACGGCGATGCGCAGCTGCTGTTACTTACAAAGAATTTGACATTCTTTGTTTTAAAATGCGCTGAAATTTGTTTTAGATCATTAAAGAGGTTGTCAGGCAGCTGCAGTAACTTTGCATCAGCAAACTTATGCGGTGTCCGTCCAGATTCCTGTGCTCTCAGTAACATGGTGGAACACGCAAGCACACTTTCTGCGAGATTTGCGCGAGCTTCGACAAAATCGTTCACTTTACAATCAGTGATTGTTCGGAGAAGATTACAGTTGTCTGTCAACACTCCTCATGCAGTTGGCTCCGAGTGCTCGAAGATACATCAGCGAGACGCCGAACATACGTAATGTCGTCGATCTTGCGCAACTCACACTGCTTCATTTCTCTGGGAAACGCGCAGCGCCTGTCCTTCCTGTCCGGAGCTAGAAGTCGAGGTCGTCCTAGTATGGTGCTTTTGTGATTATAACTCACTGTGCATTTGCATCCACATGTACTTTTGCGTGACACTTCTCATTTTTTGCTCCAAGAAGAAACGATGAGAACTGAGTGCTGCGCAAGTCAGCATTTAGGTAATATATTGCTTGATGAGCAGCGT